TTTCCAAAAATTGCAAAGATTATAATCTGGAATGGACCGAGGAATTTCGGGTTCGACAAGGAACAAACGGAATGAAAGAAGGAACGGAGAAAGGAATTTAAGAATGAGCCGATCAAAGATTACGAAAAACGTTCAATTTCTGTAATCTTTATTCCCGTTTGTGACTCTCAGTATAAAGGGACTCTAGTCGTCACCTTCCAGCCAAAGTATTACAAGCGCCATGCGACGTTTAAATATTTCCACCGCCATTTCGTTTTTGCACAGAAACATTATCGGTTGAATCTGTTTGAAAATTTCACTGAATTTCATTGGCAGCATTAAGAAAATGTAATGGAATTTTCGGACGGCTTCGTTGAAAAATGTCACTGTAAAAAAATAAAATGGTGGCGGAAATTTTTAAACGTCGCATGGCGCTTGTGATACTTTGGCCGGAAGGTGACGCAGTAGCGTGGCGTGCTTTGCGATGTATCGATTGATCTGTCAATTAAACCTATGGAAAAGGATCGATAAACTGGGTGTTGGCAACGAACACCTTTACAATCGATTCTTTATCATAGCTTCAATTGAGGTAATATTGAAAATCGATCAATTACGCATCGCTACTGCATGTGGAAAAACGCCGTACGAGTCATCATACTGAACCAAATTCCCTCCGATACAAGAATTTCCACTGAAAATTAAAAAAAAACGCAAATCAATTTCAAGGTTGTGCAATTTCCTAAAAGAATTCAACTTTTTATGAAAGCATAACTAGCAGTTTTGTTCGAAAATGTTGCTGTTTATTGCATGTACCTAATCAGACGAGGAATCGGTGATATTTTCATTTCGCGACACCTGACGGTTTTCTGGTAAAAATACACGTTTCTGCGGACTGATTATTGAAATTGATAGACAAAGCAATAGACAAAGAAGACAAAAAGGATTTGGAAGGATCCTATTGGTAGAAGCGGGTGGTTGCAATGGACAAAGGTGGTAGGTAAGAGACTAACTAACGGCAACCCACGAGAGACCCGACAGTTAGTCTATCATTTTCCCCCTTAGTCTATGAAAACCACCCATTTCAACCAATAGGATTGCTTTATACCCCCTACGTCTTCTTTGTCTATAGATTTGTCTATAACTTTCAATAATCGGCCCGCTGTTAAGATCTATCATGATGTAAAAAGTGACGGGGCGTGCTCTGTGATATATCGATCGATCTGTCATTTAAATCGATGGAAAAAGATTGATAAACAGGGTGTTCGCACCGAACGCCTTAATGATCGATTATTATTTATCATAGCTTCAAATGGGGAAATATCGATAATCGATCACTCAACGCCTCGCCACACTGGAAAAAAATATCGCTTGGATCTTGAGTCCGGACTCTTGATAACATTGACAAAATAAATACTCTTGATTCAATCCGAGTTTTCCTTGAATCGAAGAGCCGAGCCCCTGATTTAGGCGGGTTTCCCTTTGATTCAAACAAAAAGCCCGATTAAATCAAGAGAAGGTATTTTTTCTTTTTAACGTTTTCAAGAGTCTGGACTCTAGATCCAAGCGACTTTTTTTCCAGTGCTGGTTGGAAATCTGAAAATCGATGGATTTTTTAATCGGAATCAGTAATTTTTAGTGCACGAATGAGTGAATGCACTCAATATGACCAGATTCCTGCGTGCTTTTGCTCAAATAGTCGATTTTAAATTTTATACCTCTGAAAGCTTTTGAAAGTGTTACCTTTCACTTCCATTCAAATCTTTGTTCGTTGCCGAATCAACCACTCAAAGACAGGCAAAAAGCAGGATTCTTTTCCAGGAAGAACCTTTCTTTAAGTTAGGCGGAAAATTAAGAAAATTTACTTTTGTTCCGCAAAACGGCAGCCTGGGTCATTTGCTTCTCGACGGGAGTGCCACCTTGGACAGGGCCTAAATGAAGCAAGAAATATTTCGAGGAAATGCGCGTCGTTAGCTACGCCGCACAACGGAGCAATCGATGGGAGAAATCGGATATGATAAGGAAAGCTTAAAAGTTTAAAGATCTTCGTTAAATGGCTGGCTGCACGCAAGAAAAAGCTGTTGGTTCAGACATTTTCCAGCGGTAAAATGGCAAGCAAAGCACGATGATCACATTTAAAAAATACATGTGATCATTTTGTCATATCTCCTCCACTTGGATTGTGTTTTGCGAAAAGGAACCACAAGAATTTCAATGTTGCTAAGATGGTAACACTTTTTACCCTTGCAACTATAGACTGATCAACTAATTAAAATTTATCTTTACCCCTAATAAACTATAAATTTAAGACGAAAATTACCTTTGGAAATTTAACTTTTTGCGTAATATTTGTGATTTTATTACAAAGATTGCAAGTTGCACAATACTAGCAACATTGGCATTCTCTTGGCTCCTTTTTGCAAAATGCAATTTCATTATTGTTCAATTCATGAACCAAAGACATCCCCATGTTCAGTTCGCTAAGTAGTCTATGCTGAAACACGAAATTCATCACCTTTAGGGCACCTGCAAATGCTCTATTGGCGCAGTTTGAACATGCTTTTTCATATTTCCCGCGTCTGAGGGCAGTTTTCCAGTCACCGTTAACAAGCAAACAGCACCTTCAGGTGGCCTTGGTGGTTGCCGGTAAATGATGCTGTGTGAGGAAAAAACGCCGTATGAACCTTCAGGCGTTGCCAAATTTCCTTCGATAAAACATGAATTCCCCGGTAAACTTGAGCAAATTTTTCTCCAATTTTTCAGATAATTTTGTGCGAAATTTCACCCGAAGCTCCTGAAGATTTTAACGAAAAATATTCATGACTTTCCGCAAAAATAAATATTTTATCGAAGAAAATTTTGCAACTGTCGCAAGTCCATACGGCGCTCTTATTCAGCACGGCAGAATGGGGGTAGTTTTAAATTCGTTGTTGTTGTTGTTCATGTGTTTAGGTTACAAGCGAAACTTGATCTTTGGGAGTGGACCATACTTTGAGTTGTGAGAGTGTGTTTCATCGATCTGCAGGGTACAGCGATAAATTTTGAGTCAAGAATTGTCTCTGGTCAAGAATTACAAGTCTTCCTTGGCCGCAAGTTGCATTCGCAGTTGCAAAAACAATTTTGCCACACTGAAAAAAAGGATTGCTAATTCACCGATTTAGGGTGGAGCAAAATTTGCTTCACTTCGTAAAGCTTTTTTATCCGTGAACGGTGTTGAAACAAGTGAACGACTAGCACGAATTGCTACACCGATTTGCTACATCTGCGCGCCTTCATTCAGTTAATCTTGCATCGAGTGGCTTGGAAGTGTAACTGCATTTTTTGGTATTGGTATTTTGCGAACAGTAAAAATAGCTCAATAGTTAGACTGAGATAGCGGAATTTACGGAAAAATAGCGAAATTTACGAAAGAATAACTAAAAAGGTAACAGACGTAGCTTTTCGGAGAGCAAAATCACCTACACGCGTGTGTGTCAGTTAGCTGACATTTGTGTAGCGATTTTACCTGCATGGTTTGCACGTTCGTTTTTTGGCTACAACATTCCATGAAATACCCGCGTGCACGGCAATTTCAGCAATATTTTGTTTTCAGTGCAGCTTGAAACTCGCCACCGAGTCCCACTGTGCGGCGGCGAGGAGATTCTCGGGGACGACGACAGAACGCGGCCTCGCTAACTCGGAAGTAAGTGAAATAAATGGTGCGAATGAATCAAAGCGAAGCGCCAGAAGAACGAAATTTTAATAACGCTCTAAATTACTCGTCGCGGCTTTTGTTCGCGTCACCGGCACCGAGGACTCGGGATGCTCCGCCGCGGTTTATTGTTTCGCCGCTCCCCCCCCCCCCCCCCCCCCCCCCCCCNCGGCCCGGGGTCTGAGTATTCGTGGCGTGTCACGCCGAAAGCCCCACCCCCACTTACGGCACCGGTAAGTGGGACGCGCCGGACTCCTGGCAACTATTCGTACTCTCATGTTGGGCTTGTTGCATCATCAGGTTATTTTCAGGCGTTATACAGGCTCAAAAAAATCATAGAGTACATAGAGTCGTAATGTAATTGGGAGAGCTGGCGCCATGTTCTGCTCGACGAGTTCCGAGCCCGGTGTGCGCCGAGTTTGGGTCGCTTTTCCGATACATTTTCGATCCAAAATGGCGGTGTGGAATACGTGGTAATTCCTATCTCCTTTGTTGTTGTTGTTGTTGTCATCGGATGGCCGGGTACCCGTGTCTCGCAAACAATCGATTATGTATCGAAAAAGTGACCCGGCGTCACACAGGAGTCTCGGAATTCGGGACATGGAAAATGCTTAAAAGTGGCGCGGCTCTCCCAATTACATTACGACTCTATGTACTCTATGAAAAAAATATACTTTGACTCCCGACAATTTGTATTTTTTCCCCTTTTTTTGATGAGGAACAGTTGCACACCTGTCTCTTCCTGGAGCACCCGCGTGGCACAGGTAGATCCAGGTACTCCGTTCGCCGGGAAGGGTGGAGGAGGGATGGGGTCCGCCCCCCCCCCGGAAATTTTCGAAATTTTAAAGCATCTGATACGGAGTGTGAGTCAATTTGTCCTGGATAATTACCAAATGCAATCGTTTGTACATTTTATGTGCATTTCTTTTGAGCATTTGTTGGTTGAATCTGTTTGAAAATGTCGCTGAATTTTATCGGCGTACAAAAAAAATTCAGTGACATTTTCGGACAGCTTTTTTGAACGATTTCTCTGTAAATGAATAAAATAGCGGCGGAAATTTTTAAACGTTGCATGGCGCTTGTAAAACTTTGGCCGGAATGTGACGATACGTTCTCTATTTTTTCCGACCAACATCAAAAGATATTCGTCGACTCCTCTTCGAAAGGCTGGTCACAAAACGTAAGGAGAGGAAGCAGACGTGGAAGCGGCAGAAGAGAAAGAGAGTGAAATACAATTTTTGAAATTTAGCCACATCGACAACTATTACAAAACTTTTTCTCGGCAATTTCTATGGAAATGAAGTTGAGTTGCTGAAATGGGAGGCGGACTTACCTCGTACGCGTGGGAGATGTTGACGACTTGTTTGCACAGCGCCGCGGAACCCGCTACTCCCACGCCGAACGGGATTCGAATTTCCTCGGCTTTTGCTTTTTCAACGGCCTCCTCCAATTCTGTCAACAAAAAACATTTATCATGGCATATATTATTTTTTGAAAATCCAGTTTTATTCAACCGCACATATTGCTTCTCACCCAAAAATTTGATTTTCAGGTCAAGTACATTAAGGACCATCCATAAATGGACGTATTTCTATTAAACGGACCTAAGCGGCATAGAGGTAGGAAGGTAGAGGGGGGCTTGAATTGGCGTCGGAATCGGGCGTCGCACAGTGCGTTGAATGGTGACAAAAATCCCCCTAAAAATAAAAGTCAAAATTTTCCAAAAATTATGTGGTGAACGTTAAGTGTTATATCTGGCAACACTAGTGTCAGCGATAGTATCGATTTTTATCGATACCTAGTCCCGCACAGGTGGTCGATATCAGCCAGTTCTGAGCTCCTGATTAGAGGCCGATTGCAGAGGACAACAATGAGGAGCATTCTGATCAACAGGCTTCAGTGCCATTCTATCCTTCCAGGAAGATGCATTTCTACTGGTAAGCACTTTCTATTTTTGATTTTTCCAATTTTTAAATCCTTTTTTTTGTGGCGAATATTGCATTTTGAAATACTGCTCATTTTCAAAATTTAAAGTCGTAAATTTGGATTGTTTCTCATGGAAGAGATGAGTTAAGAGCGGAAATTTTGAAACACCGCAATGGAGATACGTAGTTTCGCACTTCAGTCGGTGCGATACGGACAGCCATCAAGTTTAAAAAGTTGCATCAAGCCCCCGTCACCGCCGACCAACGCGTTTGTCGATCGAATCTACTACAGGTATCATGAGCAGGGAGTCAAAACGTCTTCAATTTTTTGAACGCAATACGGACATCCGTCGAGGTTGTATAGTTGTATCAAGGCGCGCCGTAGCGAACGCGTCCCATTCTTTATCGTTACAGACGAATATAAGTTGGAGAGGCCAGTCATAATGCCTTAAATTTTATGCATACATATTTTCGGGCAAAATGAGAGACGGCGTTTCTCCATTTGCGACGTTGCAGACTTCCTTAGAAATTGTATGTTTCTTTCGAGAAGCTAGTCAACATAAAACTTAAATTCTCCATGATTTTTCGTATTCGATAGCAGAAGATTTGGTTCAAAATTTAAAGTCGTAAATTTGGATTATTTCTCATGGAAGAGATGAATTAAGAACGGAAACTTTGAAACACCGCAATGGAGATACGTGGTTTCGCACTTCAGTCGGTGCGATACGGACAGCCATCAAGTTTAAAAAGTTGCATCAAGCCCCCGTCATCGCCGATCAACGCGTTTGTCGATCGAATCGACTACAGGTAGCATGAGCAGGGAGTCAAAACGCCTTCAATTATTTGAACGCAATACGGACATCCGTCGAGGTTGTATAGTTGTATCAAGGCGCCGCGTCGGGCGTCGGGCTCATCCCGTCCGATACTCGCGATGCTTTTCCATGGCGTTTAGTTCCGTTTGACAGAACGCGCTATCCGGGATTCTAAATTCCTCAAAAGGAACTCAAATTGGCGCTTAGTTCCGTTTGGCAGGAATACATCCAAATTTCGTAACGCTCGAGGGGGGAGGGGGTCGAACTGAGCGTTACGCTATTTGGACCGCATTTTGCGATTTGGAACTATAAATTCTAGCCCGGTTTAAAAACAACGTATGTGCCATTAGTTTCCCTATGCACAGAAAAGTTTTTTCAGATGAGCCGGAATTTATAGTTCCAAATTGCAAAATGCAGTTCATTTGGTTTTTAAGTTTTAATGAGTAGGAACCTTCGTCACAAAAGTGTTACAAGGGGGAGATGAAGGGGGGATCAAAAATGCTGAAAAAGTTGTTAAACGTAATTTCTGAGCACTCCCTTCGATGAGCCAAAAATGTCAATATTTAATCAATAAAACTTGTACGCATACTGTAAGGATACATAGGCATTCTGAATATTTTAACAGCAATAATCGTTAGAACGCGTCAACAGGGAGGAGCTGAGCCGCACATCACCCTTGGCAAAATTAATCGGACGATTTTTCTACATGAAAACGGTTGTGCGAATTTTTTTTTTTTTTTTTTTTTTTTTTTTTTTTTACGAATTTTTGTAAATTATCCGCATAGTGTGAAGTAATTTTTTAAACTTTTCAAAGGAATCCGCACAAATGTTCTCTTGTAAAAATTTAAATTGCCCAGTTATATTCGGCAACGGCTGATGTGACTTGATTCTTTCCGGCAGAAAAAGGTCCAATGGGCCTGTTGCATATTTGTTTGTAAGTATTGCATGTAGCGAACGAACTTAGGGTCCTAATGTCACAGCTTGCTTTTGGAATCAGTTATCAATTCGCAAATCCCGGCACCTCGCAAAGGCCCTTTATGAATCAAGTGGGTTGACATCATCATTTATAATAATACCCGTCCTAGGTTTTTCGACCGAAAGCTAACATTTTTGCCGGAAAAATTCACAAATCATCAAAAGTAATGCATCATTGAAAATGAGTGGTCGCTCCTCCACGCAGCTTAAAAAGCAGATTACGTTCCCGGTTACGTATTTACGCCAAACGAAACTATGTGAATTAAGACATGAGCCCTGAGACCCACAAGAATATATGAATAACAAGGCTCACGTCATAATGCACATAGTTCCGTTTGACAGAAATGCGTCGATTTTTAAGCGAGAGTCAACACGAAAAGCTTCAAAAGATAAGGAACCAATCTCGTAACTTATTCAAAGGATCCGAGCCGGACTTAAAGTGCTTTGCCCAAAATTAAAGGCTTTCATCTGGCGATCCGCTTTGAAGCTCGAAGTTCTGGCTAGCGAAGATGCCGGAATGACCGCATTTGGTCCGCATCACTAATTGAAAATGACGTCAATTAAACGACACGATTTTGCGACACTGGAGATATCATATTAGCAGTGTTGCCTTTTTTGGAAAGGTACCGCCTAAATCAATGAGTCTGTAGCAATTGAGAGAAACGGCCAATTGAGAAGACGTCTAAAAAGAAAAATTGAACGAAAATCACGATGAGCAATTCGGAGATGCTTAAATAGTGCCTTTTATAGGGAGAGTATGGCCGCTGAGTCTCATGCCAGAGTCACAGGCTGAATTTGGCAGCTGAAGGTGGAAGTCAACAGTTAGTTCCTTCGAGTTAGTTTCATCCAGATGTGTATCAAATCTATTCGAATAGCTCAGAAAAATCCGACAATATCCGATGGCCGCTGAGAATCGTTGCTGAATTTTGCGTGACACGTGCAAAATTCAGCACATTCCGGCTGCCGGTCGGGCNAATCTTACAGCCGGCCGTAAGTCTATGGTATTTTGGGACACAGATTCTACAAATTGTGGTTGACAAAGGGGTTTTTTTAAAGGTGAATTTGAACATTTTCCGGACTCCTAACATCCTTCTTCTGATCTGGAGGGGAGGGGCGTCTATGGGACCACCCCCCCCGCCCCCCACGAGAGTGCCTACTTTTAGAGGCGCCACCCTAAGTTTAGCCTAGGGCGCTAAAAATGTAAATCCGGCCCTGGTTGCATATTTGTTTGTAGGTATTGCATGTAGCGATAGAACTTAGGGTCCTAATGTCACAGTTTGCTTTTGGAATCAGTTATCAATTCGGAAATCCCGGCACCTTGCAAAGGCCCTTTATGAATCGAGTGGGTTGAAATCATTTATAATAATACCCGTCCTAGGTTTTTCGACCAAAAGCTAACATTTTTGCCGGAAAAATTCACAAATCGTCAAAAGTAATGCAACATTGAAAATGAGTGGTCGCTCCTCCACGCAGCTTAAAAAGCAGATTACGTTCCCGGTTACGTATTTACGCCAAACGGAACTATGCGCATTAAGACATGAGCCCTGAGACCCACAAGAATATATGAATAACAAGGCTCACGTCATCATGCACATAGTTCTGTTTGACAGAAATGCGTCCATTTTTAAGCGAGAGTCAACACGAAAAGCTTCAAAAGATAAGGAACCAATCTCGTAACTTATTCAAAGGATCCGAGCCGGACTTAAAGTGCTTTGCCCAAAATTAAAGGCTTTCATCTGGCGATCCGCTTTAAAGCTTGAAGTTCTGGCTAGCGAAGATGCCGGAACGACCGCATTTGGTCCGCATCACTAATTGAAAATAACGTCAATGAAACGACACGATTTCGCGACACTGGAGATATCATATTAGCAGTGTTGCCTTTTTTGGAAAGGTACCGCCTAAATCAATGAGTCTGTAGCAATTGAGAGAAACGGCCAATTGAGAAGACGTCTAAAAAGAAAAATTGAACGAAAATCACGATGAGCAATTCGGAGATGCTTAAATAGTGCCTTTTATAGGGAGAGTATGGCCGCTGAGTCTCATGCCAGAGTCACAGGCTGAATTTGGCAGCTGAAGGTGGAAGTCAACAGTTAGTTCCTTCGAGTTAGTTTCATCCAGATGTGTATCAAATCTATTCGAATAGCTCAGAAAAATCCGACAATATCCGATGGCCGCTGAGAATCGTTGCTGAATTTTGCGTGACACGTGCAAAATTCAGCACATTCCGGCTGCCGGTCGGGCCGATGACTTCCACATTCAAGCCACATTCAGCGTGTGATTGCAGCGTTAAGAGGAATCCTTTGGACCCCAAAAAATGGCGGCATCTCTTGGTAGGGGTGGGTAAGAAGAGGTTGTTGTCAATTTTTGAGTACTTGCTGTACCTGTTATTACCAATTCTGCCATTCTAGTGGTTCAAGTTGAATTTTTTTTTTTCACTTTTTTCAAATGCAATACACAACACTGGGCTCAAAACTGAGTAAAAACCCTGAGTAATAACTCTACACTGGAAAAAAACGCATTGGATCTAGAGTCCACACTCTTGAAAACATTGACTGGAAAAAATACTCTTGATTCACTCGGATTTTTGCTGGGATCAAAACGAAATCCGCTTAAATTAAGAGGCTTGGTTCTTGATTTAAGCTAGATTCTGATTGAATCGAGAGTACTTTTTCTTGTCAATGTTTTCAAGAGTCTGGACTCTAGATCCAATGTGATTTTCCCCAGTGTAGCTGAAGTTAGC